TCAGTTTCTTAGACAAGCAAAATTTGTTAGTCCCTTCTGAAGTTGTGATGTTTAATTACCTTGATCAGATTTTCACGAGGATCATGTGATGTACAGTGCATGATGGCTGCAGCTCTCTGATCTCTTTTATCCTCAGTCCCCAAGCTTTCAGTTTAGTTCTATCAATTTAGTTTTGTTGTTGCTTGCCTCCACTTTGTTGACTTTGTGATTAATTCTAGACAGTAGGACAATTTTACCTGTTTTCCTTCATGGCATTAACTTGGAGAGTTTAAAATATCAATTAATATAGTATGAATTGTTTGTATATAATTCTGTATTTTCCAGGATTTTAATATTCTTCAATGAATTCTGTCAGACCACAGTGCAATGGAACCTAACATTGCAAATAAATTAACACATTGGCACATCCATACTACTACAGAATAGCTTGTTCCACTTTAATTTCATTACAAAAAATTGAGATACCATGGAGGTTGTCCTTCTTTTGAAATAAAGTGGAAAAGCCCCTGTGGAGGCACAATTCGATGCAAAGAAAGGTTTTCTTTGGAGCTATTCTACACAAATATAAAATATTTTACAGTAATCTTCATAGTATTAGACAGAGCACAGTCATCTTTATCATAATTAAGTCCAAAACCAAGAAGGCCACAGACCTAAATATTTGTTTAAATTTAAATTCCACAAAACGCATATCTACAATAACATCAATAACATTCCACTCTATGGACGTACATTTGAAGTCTCGGGAAACATATATAGTCCTACGAAGGACTTCTGTGGGGTATTAAAGGAGGTTATACATGAAAAACATTTACTAATAGCATACAACATCATGGATAAGGTCAAAGAACTCTTTGAAGACTGCAAGCAAATAGTGAATTTTAATTGTTAAGAAATTTAAGCCTAATGTAATACTGGCCACCCTGCTTTGAACAGGACAAATGTATCTGGCCACCATAGGCTGTGTAACAAGTTGTTTGGGAAGCAACTGTAAACACAGTTATCAGATGGTACTGTATATTCACTTTACAATGTATTGAAAATGACAATTTGAAGTTGCCTGCATTATTGTGGCATTCATTACAGGGTTACAAAGAAGATAATTCTTTTTAGAATTAACCACAAAAACAAATGACTCATACTGTATATGCTGAACTTGACATGTTGAAAGGAAAGTCATATAGTCAGATGAAAAGACAATTGGGCACTCTGGATTACACATTGGTATTATGTTTGGTGTAAAAACTTTAAAATGATTAAACAGTTTTTCATATACTATAGGAAAAAACAAATTATGCCGGAGAGTTAGAGTTAAGGTTATTTTTTGGGCTCGTTTTGCTTCTACAACTCCTGGAATGTTTTGAAGATAGTGGAAATTATTATCTCTAAACTCCTGTACCAGGAAATGCTTGACTATGATCCGAAACATGCATTCAGATCGACAAAGAAAGGTTAACTGCGTACAATATTCTCCCCTTACTAAATAAAGACTTACTGTATCCTTGGCTGTACAACTTGAAAAGCTAGAAAGAACTGAAAAAAGGCAAGCAGTCAAAATCACCTGTAATCTCACCTGTAAAAATTAGCAGGCATTTTTTTGTAATTAATAGAGTTTTATTGTTTTTAACTGGGAAATGGAATCGTCAAAGGTTAAGTTTAAAGGGACTTTTTGTCACAAGAATTTTCTGGTATTGAGGACATGAATGATGGGAAAACAATAAATTCACTTATACTGTACAACTACTGCTATTGTACTTTAACTATTTCCTGTTATAAAGGTCAAACGTTGTCTTTCCATTCACGTCTATGAAGAATCAGAAATTTTTCCATTTCTGTGGAACCACAGAACATTTTTATTCTTATTTTCTTTGATAATGTAATTAAAGAACATTTTATGTTGTTGAAAAATATTCTTTGAGATTGTAAAAAAAAAACAATAGGGAATTTTTTCAGTGAAATTAGTGCTGGTTCTATTGCAGAGGTTGAGGAGATTAGATGAAGTGTGTTTCATGGTGTCACTTTTTTCCCCACCTTTATCATGCTGAGACATGCTGCTGTGACAACACGGGCACTGTGACTGGATAGAGGTAGAGCGTGCTTTGTTTGCAAGACTGTTACATTAACATCACTAAGGGTGCCCATTTTGTGAAGCTCAGGAGAGCCAAAGAATTGTATTACAACCAAAGGCTCTGATGCTGAACTAATAGGTTTGTGAGGATTGACTCAGCCGGCTGGCTATACTGTATGTTTGACACTTCTACTTTACACAGTATGAGCAAAGGTAAATCCATTGGTTTTGGTAGTTTTCCTCCAGAGTCGGTATATGTAGGTACTTCTATCACCCGAAGAAGGCTTCACAGCTGAAACGTTGTTTTCTTTCTTCTCTTTTCAGCATGGAATGAACCCATTACTTGTTATTCTATAGGTAGCCATGTTCTTTCTTTGTTTGCCATTTCATTAGAACCATTAGAGCAGGCAGTAGACTAAGCCACAACAAAGGTCCTATCAATATGAAAACATACACCATTGTCGAGTTTCTTGTCGTCTATGTTTATTGAACATACTGTTTGAGAACAGTGGTCTAAAAACAGATCACCGTGGTACTCCACTAATTACACTGCTGTGAATTTCACTATTTACTCCATATCTGTAACGCTTTTTATTCATTTGCTTGCATTTTCTTGAATCCTGCTGCCTGCAATTTGAGAGTTTTAAGAGGAAATTTAAGGTTTCCTCGATATCTAAATGTACCATATAATACATGTTTGAATCAATTTCTGTTGTTGTTTGTTCAAACAGCTCTTTCAGGTTAGTTTAGTAAGACCTACATTTTCTAAATTCATGTTGACGCTCCTCTAAAATCTTACTTGTCGTATAGACAATCCTCTAGTTCACTTATAATGACCATTTCCTTACATTTACTGTACATATGATTTACAGTATTAGTCTGGTTCATTTATTCAATGGTTGGGTTTTGTCACTGTTTTTTGAATGGACACTACATACTGTAAGTAATTTTCCATTAAGTGGGTCTTACCTCTGTCATGCATTGCTGCTATAAGGGTTTAATTAACCTATAACTTAATGTTTCCTTAATTACTTTGTTATAACAGCATGAGGACCTGGTGATGAGTTTTTATCTATTTCGTCTCTAGTACTTTTAATATTCCTAGAGGTCCTACTCTTCAGCTTGAACAATTGAACAAATAGAATTTGGTTCAAGTTGATTTTTTTCTTTTGCGAGTGAGAGTTGGCTTTGTAGAAAGCCATTTGTTAATTGGAAAAATCTTTCAGAAAATGGCACTATCCATATCCATTGCCTTTACCGCACATTTATGAGAACAAAGGTCCACAAGCACCAATTATTGCAAATATCATGTTGTTTTGTAGGTCTTGGAAAAGCAGCTACTATATGATGATGAGATATTCAAATTGGAGCTATTTTTATTTTTTAATTGTGGACCTTAACTTCTTTTGGATTAAATAAAGAGTGATATTCATCTTTTTATATAATGATTGATGTTTCTCATACCTTTTAAATGTTAAGTACATATTTGAAATAAGATGCATTGCTAATTATAGTGTATATCATGTATATCGTGTTTCATGTTTTGAGATAATAAGCCTAACGAACGGTCAGCAGACCAAAATGTTTTTTGATCAAAAACAGTTTTTAGAAAGAAGAGATAGTGTTTGGGGGACTGTATATTTGTTTATCCGTTTTGCTCATTTTGCCAGGACAGAGGTTATCCCTTAGGACATTATTGCTGAATCAGTGTTTGGCCCATCCTTTAATTTAAAATCTGTCTACTTTTTTTACTTGTGATGGGTGTAAGAATGTCTCTGGCTGAAGGTGTTTTATTTGATGGTTCTTTAAAGTCTGTGAGCAAATGGAAACAACACACTTTTACCTGCCTTCTCTCCTAGTCAGCAGTCTTTCAATTGTTTGTGCCACTCACAATTTCATTAACCCCACAGAACATTGTGCTGTTTTGGGGGGTTTAAATCTGTACTTCGATTAGTATTGGGAAAAAAAAACACTTTGCAGAAAGTAGAAGAGGCATTTCAGTTGGAAAAAAAACCCTAACTGATTTGACACTGGTAATTCTAGGGTCTACCAGTTTATGATGATGCTGCATTGTTAATGTATAACATAAAAAGTTGTACTTGACCAGTGTTCATAATGCATTCTGCCTAAATATCACAAAAATTACCTGAATATTTCAGGCACAGAAGACATTCTTATAACAGACAATATTAATCATATGTGATCACTTAAAATTACAAAGCTTGAAAAATTACAAAGACTGAATTAAGTGTCAGATATTTTAGAAATAATGGATTTACTATCAATTGATAGCAATGAGTGATGTTAAATAAAACTGGACTGATGAGCTGATAGCCAAAACTATGATAAAAAGCAAGAGTTCCATCGATCCACCAACAATTACAGCATCAACACTTTCAGCAGTTCATCAGTATGATTCTGAACAGTGTGTGCACACTCAGCACACCTGTGCCAGTCTCATTTCGACCAGAGTGACTAAAGACCATTCTTTGGGATAAACCTTATTGAGGGAAGAGCATTGATATGTTCATAAATATGAAATTTGATCACAATGGTAATACACATTTTTTAAACAAAGTACTTTACGTGCTACTTTACATTTCAGACTTGTTTAATAATTCTCCATGTAAAATAATGTAGTGCCAAAGGTTGGGCACAGAGTTAATTTTCTTCATGAAACATCACAGATGCATTAACCAGAAATTTTTCCAGCAGTTTTCTTCTTCTTTGCTGGCATGCTTTAGACGTTGTGATGTTCTTTAAATCATAGAACAAATTCAGGTGTTATTTCTCCTGTGGGTTACTGAATATTGCTATTTTGTTGTTAAGATTTAGTAAGGATGGACTTGAAAATGTTAGTACAGGATTCTTTGACATGAGAGATCAGTCATGTGCAGATACAGCCTGATTGTGCTTACCGATTGTTTGTCAGATGCCAGCTTGCCATCCTCGGGTCCTCTGGTCCTCGCTGCTGCTCAGAATTCCTTTGGCAAGCTGATGGAGAAGCTAGGTGTGGAGATGGAGGGCAGTGCAGGGGTCTCAGGGAGGCTCACCTGGTATGGAGACAAGGGTGCCCTGACTAGAAGACTGGGCCATGGGCTTCACAGACTCAATGCACAGATGCTGAAAGCTGGTCTGCCCGAAGCGGTGACAAATAAGGTAATATCGCCTGTCATTTATTTTCAAGGGATGTTTTAATTTCTTTGTAGCCTCCTTTAACAGAAACCTCGTTGTTAATGCCTCACTGGTCCCAAAAAACTTAAACTAAGTGTTTCATGCCCAGATCTGCAGCGGCTCTCTACCAAGCCAGTTCCCCATCATCTAATTAAATACACCAGATTTCCTATATAATACCTGAACCAACACAGGGAATGTGCCCTGTCATTTAAACTACCGCTATGCTCAGCCTTGTTTTACGACGTGCTACAGATTATTTAAAAAACCATGTCCCTGTGTCTTGAGCTTGTTTTACAAACGCTCTTTCCTGCCTGAATCCAGCCCTGTCTCCCGATTTTCCAAATCTTCCCCAATCGCCATTTTTTTCCTGGAAAACTCCATTAGCCTCCGGAAATCATGGGGCTCCTACAGTTGGATTGTGTGCCTGCCTGTGAGATGCAGTTATCAGTAAAAACTAACTGCATCATAAGAAAGAGTAACTGATATTTTCCTGCAAAACAAAATAAAAGAGACCCATTTTATCATAATTGTTTTCAAGTCCCAGTATGGATGAATAAAATAACTTTAGACTATACCAAAAATGAAAAGAATCTTGAAAAAAATGACAGTTTTCAGGAAAAGATTTTGGAGAAGGAAAGGGGACTTTTTTTTGAAAAAATACACGTCAGGAAGGTCAGTTTCTGAATTTTATATTGTATTGGATCTCTCATAAGAATATGATAAAGATTAAACCTGAGAGGAGGCTGTTAAGCACATCATTTTCATTTGGTAGCTGTGGGTCTGTGGCTAAGGATCTTCGCCTGTGGCTGGAAGGTTGCCGGTTTAAATCCTGCGGCCGGCAGAGGAATCCTACTCCGTTGGGCTCCTGAGCAAGGCCCTGAACCCCAACTGCTCCAGGGGCACTGTACAATGGCTGACCCTGTGCTCTGACCCCAAGTTTCTCACCCTGTCTATGTGTCTGTGTCTCATGGAGAGCAAGCTGGGGTATGCGAAAAAACCAATTCCTAACGCAAGAAATTGTATATGGCCTATAAAGTGATCTTATCTTATTTATCCAAAGATTTTGTCCAGCGGTTTCTTGAAGGATACCAGGGAACAAACTCGCTCTTATTAGTGTCAGAACCAGTGAACAGCTCATCAGTATTACAGTGTATCGTATACTCCTTTGCAAAGATGTTATTATTTTTACACTGAGAGAAGTTTTTTTTATTCACCCTTATGCTAAAGTGTTTCTTTGATTATAGGCCCTGTAAAAACAATGTATGATAAATCAACAGACTGAAATGGCAAAGATCAAAATTTGGGGTTTGTCCTTGTAAACGGGCTTCAATAAGTCTAATTTAAAGAGATGTAAGAGTTATTGAATTAAAAAAACGCACCTTTCAGGATTCATACAATACTTAGCTTCCAATTAATGATTTTTTCTATTAATTGTAAGGGATAATTTAACAATACATTGACAATGTAACAGTCAGTCAGTAATTCAATTAGCTTTATTCAGTCATCTTACCACCTGCCATAAATATAATTATATTCAGTATTTGATTGAATTATTAAAACTCTCTTAATTGGTCCAACACATGGATTAACTCATTTAACCCTTTGCTTGACATGGTAGCTCCCTTTAAATATACTGTATGCAGGTTCCACCTCTCTCCTTCTATCCTGATTGTGTTAATCAAACATGTTTCACTATTGTACTTTTGCAAAAATAACATTCTTCTTTTGCTTGATGTTAGGTAAAAATAATTTAAAATGTAGTTAGATATGTCCAGCTGATAAGAGTGACAATTATGTGTGTCCATTTTTGAAATATAAACTGTTTTACCATCATTTACAATATGTTTTCCTTTTAAATTGTTTCATAATATTTAGTGTCTTGTCTGAATGATATTTTTAAACAAATACTTTTGGTATCAGTGTATTCCCTGTGTCCCTGGTTGGGCTTTTTTATTTTAATTTAAATAAATGGTCTTATCAGAACTAATTTTATGATATGCCATGTTGAGGATGATCTAGGAAGCCAATAACCTGTGTTAAGCACAAATTCGTCATAGTCAGAGTTACTGATTATCAATGTATGGCTGCAGGCTCTCTGCTTCATTCTGCAACCTGCAGAAGCTTAGCACCTTCTCTTCTAAAAAAAATTTTGCTCTGAGAAAGACACTCTAAAAGGATAAATGTTGTGCCAATTCTTCGGAAGTGGAATTTAAGTGTTCGTAGAATGAATCATGAAGAAATGCATTACCCTCAGTGGCCGGTTTGCACAAAACGCAGCTGAAAGTTTTCAGTAAACTTAAGGGCTAGAGAAGATTTCAATGTTGGAGGTCTCTCCCTGACCTCCAGAGTTTATATGAAAACATGTAGTGAAAAAGAAATGCAAGTGAGTATCTCTTGCGAATTGTGGCTAATGAGTAGAACATTTAGACCTAATTGATTTTACATCATGTTTCACGATTGGCAGAGGGTATGTGAAAGACAGATGTGAAAGACATTTTTAATCTCATGCATCTGAGTTATCTTATTTTCTGAAGACGTGGTTCAGCAGGGTTTGTTCCTATTCCGACAATTTTTTTTAGAGCGTGATGGCGTGCTTTAGATTATAGCCTAAACAGGATTGTTATTTCTAAAAAATACAGTATGTGCCTCTCTTAGCAAATGGTGGCAGTGTTGCAGCATCACATCCTTGAGTTCACCCAGCGGCTGCACGCAGCGGAGGTGGAGCGACGCAGCTTGCGCATGGAGCTGGCCCAGTTCAAGCGCACTGTAAAGGATATGAAGAGGGAGGCGGACAAAACATTGGGCTGGAAGGATCTGAAACAAACTGTGAGTGTGCCTCTGCAGTGCTGTCCTTTACGTTCATGTTCTAATCCCAACACTTCATATTTCTAATTATACAAAGTAGCATGGGATTTTGTACTGATTCATGCTGAGTGCATTTGAAGCAAGCATGGTGACTTAAAGTTACCATGTCTATATGATTCATAATTATGTTTTAATAGGAGCTGCTTATCATAACGTCTTACCATTTGCAAGGATCTGGACATACAGTCAATGTACTGTATATGTATTTCGCAATGCAGAAAGAAGTCTTTACTATTGATTATTGCAGTACTGTCCATTTTAAAATTCAGGGATAAATGGGAATTATAGGCAAAGGTACAGTGCAAACGGTTTTCAGATGTGTATTGTGCTTTAGATAATGTAACAGTCTGACTAATCAAAAAAGAATTCCTGAAATCTTCATAGAATAAGTGATGCTTAAATGTTTAATCTTAAACAAAATTAAAATGTTTCCCCAGTTCAATAAAAAATACACTGTTTTAAAAACTAAATCTAACAATTGCCCTATGTTTAATATACTGTATTACTTTCTGTGTAAAATATATATTAATTATTACAGCATAGCACTAATAATACAAAGACTACGCTTCTACCTTTGAAATAACATTTTTAAATAGATATACAACTGTAAAATTAAACTTTTGACTCTGCATTTCTCTTCAAAATTGCGTGAATGGAGACAGTGCTGCTAATGCAATGTGGCTCTTATATTCACAGTGCATCTCTACTTTGCAATACATATTGTGAAATTTAATCAAAATACTAAACAAACTCTAGTAAGCCTAAATCACCAAAGTTTAGAATATCTGGTCTGATCTGAAAATATATAAAAAAAACAGGATTGTATAAATGGGAGCACAAAATGAATGAAATACATTTTTTGCAATGCATGTTGCCTGACAGGCTGGAGTTCCTTTGGAGAGGTTTGAGAGTGTGTGCCAAGAACTGAACAGTGCTCTTCAGCGAGAGCAGCAGGCCCAGGCACTGCTTCACGAACAGGCCCAGCAGCTCCAGGATTTAGGCCTTAGGCTGGAGCTGCACTCTGGAGAAGAGGCAGAGAAGGACCAGACTCTGGCTGAAGCTGTCAAGGTAGGCTTCTCCATCAACTGTATATGATTTGTGTTCATCTCACAAGCCTTGAGATTGCCAAATCATTATAGTTTTAAATAATTTAGGTCACACTACTGTATCTTGGGGGTTGATTTGTTAAGTAACACCAAATCTTTCTTCCTATGTGTAGATGAGCACCATTGTAGTCAGATGAAAAGATTATTTTTGTAATGCAGTCATTATAGCACATACTTAAAATATGAACGGTTACAAATGATTGGCCTCTCTGTCATGTGTTGCACTTGTTAGCTAGCTGATAAGAAAATTTAATTGAGCTGTTTATGAAAGAAGGCAGGCTATCAGCTTTAACAATATGCCTGGATACTTATACCACAAACCCTTTGCCTAAGGAAGTGTCTCCTGGTCTCAGTTCTGAATGTGTAGTTTCTGGTTCATATTTCACAGTTGATTCTGAGGAAGTCTTTCGAGTTGACTTTGTCAATACGTTTGAGGATTTTGAGTAATTTGGTCCCCACTTAGTCTTCTCTGTTCAAGACTAGAAATTATTTTTAGCCTGACAGTTTTGTTTCTTTTAAGCCCAGGAAGGTGTCTTCTCAGCTTCTTTCATGAAGCAGATGAATGTGATCTGAGTTCCTAAGCACAGCCTGAGTTATTGCATACTTTCAGTGCTTACCTACACTGTCGGTTTTAAACTTCTGAAAGGGAAATGAGGAGTGCCAAATCCCAAATTAAATAAGAAGAGAGGTGATACTATAAGATACTATGAGTTCTTCATTGACAGGTATGCCAGACAGGTGTGCAGTTGCTGTTCAGAGGGAGAGATCATAACAACGGGGCTCTTTTTAATGTGCAGCGGTGATATGGAGGGCAGCATTAGCCGCGTCAACCTTGACAGGAAAGTGTGGTCGCTAAAGCTTGGGTTATATTTCTACAAGAAGTAACAGGATATGATTAGTTCCAATGCTGATACTGCCTTGTATAACATCTAATGCTTACGATCATCTCTAAAAAACCTGATCTGTTTTGTACTGATGTATAATTTGAGCCAGGTAAAGAATGTAGTGAAGTTGTGGGTACAACACTGAACTTTATTTTAATTCATACATGCAGGGACAACAATAAACATTCATCATCCTATTTATTTTTCCAAGGAGAATCTCTACATTTATCTACATTTACCCATTAGTGCTCTAATGATTAATATGTTTTTTTCTTGCCTGCAATTATTTCAATTTGAAGCAAGGGCAGTAAATGTGTTAAATTCACCTCAGAAATGAGAAACAAGCCCTCATGCTGTGAACTGTCAAATCGCAAGATTACTTGACTTTTGAAGATCCTGCCACATGCAGCCTTCTTTACTTGTGAGATAATGTGGAGCTTTACCAGAGCTCTGTGGGGCACCCTCTTTGATTCCCAAGCAGCACAGCTTACTGTGACAACGCATTGCAGGGGGTTTCTGTGAAGATAATCTCTAATAAGGGTTGAGATATTTTTGAAGAACAGAAAAGGGCTAGGCTGATCTGCCATTAAACTCTAACCTTTTAAGCAGTGATTTAGCACTAGTGGTATCATGTGATAAAGACCCGTCACTCTTTCTATCACCTCTTTTCATGGACTAGTTTTTAGTAGTCATTAGACATTTGTTTCATAGTGCCCACATTTGAAGATTTCACATAGCCGTGTCATTCTTTGGTGGTAAACAAAAGTGAACAAGAATATTCTACTCCCTTTCCTTGCATCTTAATTGTTCAAAATTGAATTTATAATCTCACCTGGGTAATGCACGTATTTGTCCTGCCTGCCATTTAATTATATAATCGAGGATAACATTACATTAAAAGAGTCTTTTGTACTCTCTCTGTATATACTAGAATTCAGTAGGATCCTTAAATTATACATTTATTTTCCCAGTTTTCAATGATGGAATAATGGATTTCTAAATCTCTCCTTTTGCAGATTTCTGCCTTCCACACATCTGAAATATGCTTTCCAGATTTTGATTTTCTCAAAGGTTCCCTTTTCAACCTGGCCACCCTGACATTGCTCTCCTTTTGTTCTCCCTCATTCCCCCACATACCTCAAGGATTCTCCAAGCTTCTTCTTGTTCCTCTGTTATTTCAGCTTGGCATTAACTTCTAATTATTACTCTGCACACTGCCGCAGATCCACACTCTTAACATCTGTATTTCCATGCACATCCTGTATGCGTTTTTACTGTACAACGTCAAATGCCACCAGGGTTTACAGTACCTGCTGTATTTCATTTGCTTATGGAAGATAAATGAGTGTTTAAGGCTCACCACTTACAGTAAAGGGTCCAAAACATAACCAATTATTGCACATATTTGGCTTATCTTCCTTCTCCTCCTGTGTGCTGGGTTGTCTAGTCACATCATTCTTGCATGTTGTGATGAGAAAGACCCCAGAGCTGCACCTCTCATGGGGAAGATAATGAGGTAGGGCCAGACAACAGTCAAACCTTGGCACGACCACTGAAGTCACCCAGTCCCACTTGTAGCATAGACATAGGGGTTGTTTTGTTGCTAGCAGCTTTGCTTAGCTGACCAAGAGAACTGGATTAAAGGTTGAATATGCCTCTCTTGTGGGAAGAGGATTTTTGTTCAAACTTTAACAGCATGTAGATATTACTAGTGATGTAGGAGAAAAAAGAACAGACTAATAGACAGACATCTGATATACTCTGGTATTTTTTCTACATACGTTTCGGTGAATACCCCCCTTTCAAACTCATGGCATTTACATCATATTTCCTTTTGAAAAATGTTTATTAGTAAGCAAGACGAAAGCTTGCAGTTTTACACTTAAGTGTTTATTTAGGAACAGTTGACTATGTACTGCATTTCTACAACTGTATCACTTTCTTTATCCTGTTTATTCACAGCTGACAAACATTTTGAGCTTTGTGTAATATGTGTCAGGTTTAACAAACAATGGAGTTTTTTGGCCGCATCATTAACTATTTGACAGAGATTCGTTTATCTTTAAAATCAGCTGGGAAAATTTGTTGTGACATGGATGAAAAACAGTCTCCGAATAAACTCTTCAGATTAATAATGAATTTCTTGGAATACTACTGGAAGAAATAGTTTGGAATGAAATCAGTCTCTAATAAGCCAAAGATTAGATGGGTTCTCAACCCTGAGTCATAAGAAAGCATAAAAATGATACTTTTACCTATGTTTTCAAGTATACAGTACATGTGTATTCATTAGTATATAAACACCAATGATAGCATGAAAATTATTTTTTTATTAGCATCATGCATTTTTTGAAAATGCAGAGAAATATACAGTAACACAAAATGGACCTTCTAGCAGAAGACAGAAGCTTTCAATCTGTAGTGTACAACAATTGAAGGAGAGAACAAAATCTGTATATGTAATTAGACTTTCCTTCCCTCAGACTAATAAGCAATGGACAGGCAGTAAATGCTTAGATGAACCTGCTGTCAAAATGTGAAATTTCATATGGTTGTATCAAATTATTTGGGACCTACAGTGCAACACAAAGGCTCCATTTTGGATTAAGGGAACTATCTCAAGGCTGCGCTTCTCAGATAACTGCACCTAAAGCGACCTTTCTCAGACACACAATTACTGAGCTGTATGTTTTTCCTTTAATTTCATCAGGGGTTTAATTAGTATACAAATAAAACTTCCCTTATCTTACTCTCCACCTAATTGGTCTGTCTTTACTTATGCCTGAAGTGTGTGAAAACGGCCCTGTAATTAGGGTGACCGTGTTCACCTTTCTCTCTCAAATGTACCATCGCCTGAAGGCCTCAAGGCCTAGGAACGGTACTTTGGATTATTGCTTTGCAATCATTCTGGCTGTCCCACAGGCTTTCTCATAAGCAGAAAGGCTTTGGGTGCTAGAAGTTCCCACTGCATAGCAGGATCTCCATTCTTTTTGCCGCTAAATGTTTATTGATTATCTCACCGCTCCACACTCAGCCTCCAACAACTTAATATCAGGTGACAGTCTGGAGAGTTCTTCACGTAATTAGAGTTGAGCATTTGAGGGGAGGGAGAGAAACAATTAGGAGCCTAGTTATTAAACTTGATTTATCCTATTCTCTCCTGAACCATTTCCAGGGTATCAGGCCACTGCACTTCCACAAGCAACCCTTGTTAAGAAATTAACGGCTAACCTGCAACTTATCACTGTTGCATTTGCCGCCTTTAGGCACCCCATCCATGCCCACAGTGGTAGAAGTGGAAATGTTGGAGTCTGCAAAGATTATCAAGGGGTTCAATTAGACCTGACGAGTCAAAAGAGCAGAGGTACCAAGCAGCTAAAGTAACCCTCAGTACCTCACTGGGACTTTGTGTTTTTTCTAAATATATTTTGAGAATAATAGGTATTTGTAGGGATTTAAGAAGAATAAAAAAGAACAGGTTATTAGCAGGAAAATGTAAGCCATTCTGAAGTTAATGCATCAGTGTTGTGGGCATATGTGGATTATGAAGATGTGTTGTTCTTAGAATCAGACAGCTCAGAGAGAATTTTTTATAAAGTCAAAATGATACACAACAGAGTTATTGTTATTGAGAAGATAACTTTAGAAAGCAGAAAACATAACTGTGGAGCCTTCTTATGATTAAACCTTCCCCTGAAGATAGTTCCACAGTTGAAATGTTATCTTCTATCTTATTTTCAGCATTGACCTCTACTTGTATATTTTAAAGTTAAACATTAGCATTACTTGCATCAGTGCTAAGTACATTTTCCATTTAAAAAATCTCTATATGCCTTCTGTTGGATATACTTTTTGTGTCCCTTGTTTGCAGTATTTGTTTTGCCATACATAGTATCACCACACTAACATTCCCTAATAGTGTTATTTTTATAGATGATATTCATTCATTGTGATTACTTTCAGTAGAGTAAGAAATGCAACCCCTCATATTGTGGGGGCTTCATAAAGCTTCCTATAGATTATCACTATTCTTCTTCCCGTGGGCTTGCCCACACTGTTTTAAACTACTGCAAGGGAA